CCAACGTTCTTATCTTTTAATGCTGCGTTAAATGGACAGTTTGTGGACGATTCAATGCCCAACGGACTGGTCATTGATGTCCAACGTTCAGGTCCATTAACACCCCATTTAACACACAACAAATCCTCCTATAAAAGGCTGGCAGGTGCTTTGCAACAAATACAAGTTCTTACACGTTCACAAGCAAACATACACACGTTTTACCTCTGAAAAACACTCTGCTAGCATTCCGAGAACTCCTTAGTATTCAGTCTTTGTTCCCGTTCGCCGGAACTCTCGTTTGTGTGCTCAAACGTTAGTTCGTTAGCCACCGTATCCTGGGAAACGGTCGTTGCAACGCTCCTAGCACCGTGGGAGGCGACGAATACGTTTTAAGGACATCGTGCGTAGCACGAGCCCTGGCTAAAATATGCTCCATCTATTTTCTGATTTTCTTTGGCTAATTTTTATTATTAATTAATTTTATTTAATTAATATTTCTTCGTTTTTTCCGAAACACATCCAACATTGGTTCCTTCATATCCCTTTCTCGCCGACAAGTCATTGCTGCCTATTGTTGGGCGGAACCTCCCCCCCCCCCCCCCCCCCCCCCCCGAAGCCATGGGCCAAACGGTCTTGATGTCTCTGTATCACCTTTGTTATAGAGTGATGGACTGTAACGACCGTCCCCAAACGGCCATTACCATACTTAACATAAACAAGACTCAATATACAAAGCGGAATATTACAGAATACAAAGTCTCGTCATGAAACTTTATTTCTTATATACATAAGAAAACTCCATAACTGAAATGTCAAAATCACGCTTAAAACAAAGTCATCACACCTGATCAGGATTTTTAAAACAAAACATAAAACAACTCATAAAAGTGTCATAGTAAAACAATAAAACATGAGACACAGCCAGATCGTTTCTGTTAACCCATCCACAGCCTCGCCACCCCGGCCCGAACATTCTCTCAGGCTTCCATTCTTCATTCATTACCTATACATGAGACACGAGAGAACAAAAGTCTCGTAAGCAAAATTTGCTTAGTAAGTCACCATTACATCCACTAAAATAACGGAGTCTTAGCTAGCCATAATTAGATACATAAGCTAGAATACATCATACACATAGCATATTCACACCATATTCATATCATGCAAATTACAACATCATGTAACGAAATCTAAAAGATTTCCTCATTCATCATTCTTTCTTCCTATCTTGCTACTTGACTTAATGGGCCCGTAGCTCGTGTCCTGGCCCCTCGCTAATGACCTTGGGTAGCTAGCCCGCAACCATCAGAAGTAATCCCGGGACTCCCCGCGGAAGGAGATCCCGCTCCGTTCAGCTCAGGCGATTACTTGGGGGCACGGCTACCTTAGAACATTTCTTATCATTCATTAGATATCATTATCATCACAACTTTCATTCATTGTTGGATTCCATATAAATCCAACCTAACCATAAACATAGAACTTGGATACCTTACATTGATAACTCAACAAGTTCTCAATCCACATCACCTATAAGCACATACACATAACACGACATTCACATAATCTTATGCCAACCATAGACAGCTAGACTTCCATGTTTCATTTCAAACTATCATGTATAGGTGGTGATGACTTACCTGGTTCACGCGGAGTATTTACCCTTATGTGTGCGTGTACGGTATCCATGAGCAACGGTTCTTCGATGAGAAACTATATTTATAAATACACAATCTTATACCTGATCAAACTTAAATTCATATCTTTAGAAAATCCTTAGACTTAAAGTTAAGGGAAAGTTCACAAATCAGCCCCTACAAGTTAGAAAACTCCCCCTTTTTCTACAACAAATCGGGCATAGCTTCGGGATGGCTAGATAACTAAGGACCGATTGAATTTCATGAATCAAGACTCATCATCTATTAACTCCCTCTCATAATATCAAGGACTCCATGTATCTATTTAGAATCAACCACTAATCATTAAAATACTTTCCAAATTCATTCATTAAATTGGGTATAATTTTGGGGTAGCTAAATACTTAAAACTTCACAAGGGTTTTCAATCAAGGATGAAGAACAACTCCATAACAACCTTATTATTAAGAAAATCCATTAATTTTCCTAGAATCAACCATAAATCAATCAACCCTACAAAAATCCTCAACCAAGAACTATACATACTAAGAAAATTCCCCAAATTCTTTTATCAATTTGACATAGTTTTGGGATAGCTAGTTATTCAAGAATAGATTTAAAACTTGTTAAACCAAGGATAAACAACCACTCTACAACACCCCTATCATCCATAAAATCCATTAGTTTCTTAGAACCAACCCAAAATCAACCATACTTGAGGAAATCCCTAAAATAAGACCTAAAACCGAAATAGAAAAGAAATACTTCATATGGGGTAAAAATCTTACTCCCTCCGTCCCTAAATTATCTTCACAGTTACTATTCACATGGTCAACTCAAATTACTTTTAATCTTTTACTTTACATATCAAATTTTTATCAAACTTAAATTTTCTTGATCAGCCTTTGTAGCGGATTTAATATAGTTTCTGAATATGTAAATTTAATTTATTAAAAATAATCTGAGTGTGAACAGGGATTAAGTTGCTTTATCGTCAGTCAAGCATCGTAAACCGAACTGGGAAGATAAATATGGGGCGGAGGGAGTACCATTTAATGATCCTTGATGAAGAAACACATTTAATTTAAGCTTGAATCACTTTGAGGAAGATTTGGGATCAATTTGAAGAGAGAGGGACGAGCAGAAGTCGGTTTTGGGGTGAAAAGCTTCGTTTTTCGTTAAATATGCGTTTTTCCACCGACTGCCAAAACTGACCCGACCGGCGCCAGTTAGGGCCCAACCGGCGCCGGTTGCCCTGCCTTTCCACCGCCACAATGTTCTGTTTTGGACCGGCGCCGGTCCGGGTCCAACCGACGCCAGTTTGAGGCCAATTGGGTGCCGAAAACGTCATTTTTCGCCCTAAACCGACCCTGATTGTTACCGTTCACATCCTAGACCCCCGATGACATTTTAAACTATATTTTAAACACTATGATACTATCTAACATGACAAATAACTTGATATACCATTACATTAAAAAATACGAATGATTATTACGGTGTAGTTTCGTTGCTCATCGGATACCGTCGCCTGTCATGTTCAAACATAATACAAGCATGTGAGTTCAAATATCATTTTCATAAAATTCATAATCATGCTATCCTTACACTTCACACATATAGCACTCAAACATAAGTTAAAACATGATCATATATAATGAATTAGCACATAAGAAGTTGATAGAAAGTACGGGCGTTACATGGACAAAATTTTTCAGTGTGTCCGATGACGCCGCAGGCAAAGCATAAACTAGAAAGTTTCTCATATCTGAAATCCACCCAGTATCCTTCTCCTTACCTTTTCTCAATGCAATACCTACCTTTAAGGGTTTCCTCACATTCAGCAAAACCCTAACCCTCATATAGACTTCTCACTTTTCATCAAACTGTTTATCATCCCATGAAATAAATTTCCCCAGATGGTTCCCAATTTTATGGGCGTAACCCAGGTTTGAGAATCCATAAGGAATATTGTGGATCTGAACCCAAAATTCAGCCGTATCTAGGGGTATTTTCTGAGGCATGTCACCCTGCTTAATAGCTTTCAACACTAGCAGATTTTGATCAAACAACCATGGTCCATTATCTAACACTCGGGTCATATCAATTTTGTGATAAAAAGTAAAAAGATACCTCTTTTCTCTGATCTCCTGAATCAGAACGCCTTTTCCAGGACACCAAAGACACGCCATCAGGTCACAAAAAAACTGAAATTTCACCACTTTGTCAGTAAGAATCATGCCAACTACAGGGAAGATCTTCGTCTCCTTACTCGCTGCCTCGGGGTCGAGTTCCTCAATATCCTCATCATCCAACAACAGATCATCCTCCGTACTCCTCAGCCCCAAATCATCATATTGACTGATCAGGTTTGCTACACCTTTCTCGCCGGTCACCACCGAGGGTTCACCCTCCTCGTCGTAAAGCACCCGTGATGTCTGCGTCGTGGTTCTGCCACCCCCTGCGCGATCGACTGCCCTGCCCCTTCCTTTGTTGTTGTTTTGGATGCCATCTGACTGCCCCTTTTTGGTACTACACACCTTCGGCGGACGTCTCCTCAAACCCTACGAAGAGGGAACGGCCGCATCTTCTAAGTCGTGAGATATAACATTGGTTGATAATGTATATTCTTATTTATTGAAAATGTTTTATTTTCTAACTAATTATCTAAGTTGTTCTCAGTCTATATTTTCCAATTAAAAGAGCTTACTTTTTTATAACTCTTTATTGCAATCAAATGAACTTCGTCTTTTCAACCGTCTTTTCAAATAAGCTTTTTATCTAAACAATAAAAAAAGTGTTGAATGCCTATTTTGTAGTCATTTTTTAAAGATATTAGCCTTTCTAGAATTTGGAATTAAAAAATTTGTTCACTGACTCACCAAAGATCTTTGTGCGTGAACCCCAAAGATCAACTTGCTGACTCACTCACAAAGCGTCTTGCTCGTCATCTATTTTTACATCATCGTACCAAGCTCGGTGTTCTCCCAAGACCGCATCACTTGCAGGAGTTGCAGGGGGATTAATTTGTTATGTTATATAATACGTAGTATCGTTTGACATATATTATTGTTAGTTGTTACTATACCTAGTCTTACGATCAGCGGCGGAACCAGGGGCGAGCCAGGGCCGGCGCTCCCCCTTCGCCGGAGTAGTCTAGGTACTATATATCATATTTCCGCTGGCGCCCCTGTCCAGTGAACTGCCCAAGCTTTCTCTCATCTTCTTTGCGAACTCTCCCGTAGGCTACACAGTGTTCATTTTTTAATTTTAAAACTTTCATTAACCTATACGACGCCGTTTGACGGTTGTTTAAGTAAAAGTACAACCAATATAAGTAAATGACGCCGTTAGGAAACATAGAATTTTTCTTTGGATATGCTTTAATTGCTCGGCCCAAAACTGAAGAGGGGAAAGTGCGAAAGTGCGAAACCTAAAATAGAAGGCTGAAGGCGCGAACTAAGAACTACGAAGGGCTACGATAGAAGCAGTGACTTGTGAGATTTTGTGACTGTGTTTCATGAGGAAGGTGAGAGGTTGAGTGAGGCTGTAATTCTGTGAGGGTAAGGTTCCTTTCTACTCCGTATTAGTGTTATTAGTTTTGTAGAATTGTAGTTTTATTCTCTTACATTTTTAGTGCTTTACTATTTTTTGAGTGAAGATATACGATACTCGTATGCAACAAGTTGTCAATTTGTGTTATATATTTATGTTAATTATGTACTAGTGCTTACATAAAAATTCAGGTTATAAAGTCAATTAAATGAGTGAAGATTCATCTATGTAAATATTATGTGAATTACATGAATTTACTATTGTATAATTTGTTAGGTTAAGCATGTGTGTTACACTGTTTTTAGGGGACATGAAAATGTTTATACCGTTGTGTACAACGAAAAAAAATCTTCTTATATTTCTTGCCTTTCTCAGCACCCCCGATATAAAGTTCTGGTTCCGCCGCTGCTTACGATAGGTTTACAGTCCTACGGAAGTGTTGCACTAAACATGGATCTCTCAACAAGTTAACCTAGTATAGCTTGTATAAATATCTGTACATATGAGATAATAATCAAACTTCAAGTTCTAAGTCTCTGCATATTATTTGCGTTGAGTATTACTCCCTTCAGGCAGGAGCGGTGAGGGTAACCACAACAGTTTTAGGAGTGATTGGCACTACGATGAAGATAACAAAAACTGTTGGATTGTAGAAGAATTTTATGTGGCTCGTGATACCATATAAACTATTGATTCAGGGGTGGAGACAGGGGAGGCTGGCAGGGACCTTTGCCCCTACAAAAAAAATTGTGATGTAGGGTAACACCAGCAAAAGTACAGCTCCTGTCCATCAACTAAGAAGGACTACTGCTTTACGAGAGGATCTAGGGTAACTAAGCAGCTTTTGAGATATCTCGATAAAACTTCGAGGAAAACGTTTACGTAAAGATACAGGGTGTTCAATATGAATCTCCATCTTTTCTAACACCGTAGCCTTGTCAAGAAGAATCTGGACCAATGTTTGCAGTGGTTCACCAGTAATAGTTGGAACTGCTATGAAGTCCATAATATTAACAGTCTTCAAGTGCACTAGGTCGCCATGCATTTCACTCCCTCGGGATTTCAAGCAAGGCTACAATTCCTAAAATTACGTTTGCATCTGCTGAGGCCTGTACATTTGCAACCGATACCCCCTCGGGATTTACTTTAACTTTATGTGCACATTGTATGATGCATGTGCAACCGTAGATGTATGATATAATTGTTGGTTTTCTTGATTATATATATATATATATATATATATATATATATATATATATATAGATGGCAGATCATATCAGGCCGGCCTGAAGGGAATTACCGTCCGGCCGAGGCCATTTGGGATCTTCCCGGTGGAATTTTTTGATGAATTTTTTTGAGCATGTTCTTCACCAAGTCTAGTGTATCCATACAAAATTTCAGATAAAAATGCAATCGGGAAGGCAGTCCTATAAATTGCTCAAACAAACAGCGCTCTTTATATATATGTAAAGCGCAGTTTTTGTAAAGAATTAATTTGACTGTCTTCCCGATTGAATTTTTAGCTGAAATTTGGTATGGATAAACTAGACTTGATGAAGAACACACTCAAAAATTTTCATCAAAAAATTCAATCGGGGAAGTGCCCGAAATCCCCTCGACCGGATGGCGGTTCCCGTCAGGCCGGCTGGACAGGAACGGGACTCTATATATTTCTATATATATATATATATATATAATGTGTTTCGTAAATGCATAAAGGATCTTCGTAATGAAACCTTCCTAGTTAATTGATTCCCTTGATTTGTTAATATTGCGTAGCAACATTTTACCTACTTGTCTATTTATCTATTTGTAGTTTCTCATTTGGTGATTTGTTGTTCGTGTAATGATATTTATAAGTGATGGATGTCTTTATTACTTTGACCGATATGCTTACTCGAAGGATTTTGGAGTCTTCTTTGAGGACTTCTTAGGGACTGTGAAGTGTTGTTTTGTTGGTGTTAATGTGTACCGTTTGTTAATATTATTACACGGGTTACATTTGAATATGATTTATGTGCCGGTATTTAGCTTTGTATGATCTTTAGGGGGAGCTGCAAAAATTTAGTAACTGCGAAGGTTGAGTGGATTGTTTTAATTGCATGGTCCGAATTAGATGCCATCTCAAATGTCTGTCATAGGATCAAGAAGTGAAGAGTAGAACTAACTCTTGAGGTAAATATTTTATTCTACTTTCCCCCTCTTTAACTTGCTTAGTCCTATATCTATCTTTTTGGCATATGTACTTGTTGATAACTAACATTCAAATGAAGGTCTCTGCCAAAACTAATCCATACAAATAAGTTCCTAGCAAAGTTTGGGGCAGCCGATTTAACAATAATTTCTTAGCTAAAGTCAGCTGGTTAAAATTGCACTTTTCATTTTTTAGCTAACTTTGAGGCCTCCAAACAAAGCATTATTGGCGGTGTTTGGAATGGATCAAAACATGTTTTCAACCTTATATAAGCTTAAGTTGTAAGTGAGTTTTTTGTTAAAAGACATCATTTTATCCTTCAATGTTGGATGCAGAAAACTGTATTTTCTGAAATTGGTTTTTCCGAAGTGAAATTTCAGCTCTTTGCCTATTACAAAATATGATTGGCGTTTAATTGATACGAGTATGTTTTTCACGTGATTGATGTTTTGTCCATATATGCATGGAGTTGTGGCTTAACTAGAGTCGATAACAAAACATACAATGTGTATTATGGAAATAATTAAGTATTCAGATGTAAAATCTGAAAAGGTAAACATAATGAAGGCACTTTTCTTTAGAATAACATAATGAAGGTACTTGAGTATGATAACTAACTCAGTCCCAATAGAGTCCTACAAAATTAAATTGTTACTATTTCTGTTTTAGCATCATCAATATGTTAAGCTGTTAACTAATTAGAAACAATACTAGATATAGCAACAAGATCGAGGCCCGAACAAGGTGCTGTAGTAGCAACGCCACACGGACCAAGTTCTCTTTATTTGCAAGGAAGAATTTTTGAACATTTGTTTGTTATTCACCTTTGGATCAACAGTTAACTGTGAGAGCGGCATTATTCAATAGGTTGCTGCTTCAAAGGATACGCCAGAATGTTTTTTCTTCATAATTCCAAATATGTGTCAAAATCGTGTTACCCTTCCTCCCTATTTACACTTACCTGTTTGAATAGCTTACATTTTAAGAATTTTTTTCCTTTGACTTCCTGAAATGCCTTTTTACTGATGGTAAATTTCATTGTAAGATACATTGTTTTGACACTGTTTGACATTGTATTGTCATTATTATTATTACTTAAAGGTAAAAGAGTAAATTGATATAATTAAATTCGTTTGCCGAGGAAATATACTTTATTGGTAGAAATTTGTTTACAAAATACTCCGTAAGTAGTGGTAAGTTCTTTTAAAGGATAGAGACATTATATCATTTGCATTGCTTCTATGCCATCTAGGCTCTAGCCATGTAGATAACTCACAACACATCGAATCCCACAAAACTCAAAAGTGAAGATTATGGGGTTATGAGTTACTCCCTCTGTATCAAAATAAGTGTCCTGGTAAGCTTTTAATGTAGGATGTTTTTACTTGAATTGTAATATGTTGGTCTGGTCTGAACTGGTCTAGTCTGTTTTCTTTGTATTTTTATAACTATCCAAGTCTGGTCTGATCTGAACTGGACTGGTCTAATCTGTTCTGGTGTGGTAGGAATTACAGTCCAAGTAAAAATCCAAATCTTGTGTGTGCACATTGTGCATTGTGGGAGGAATTACAGTCTGGGAGGAATGCTACAATGCACAATGTGCACACACAAGATTTGGATTTTTACTTGGACTGTAATTCCTCCCACACCAGAACAGATTAGACCAGACCAGTTCAGATCAGACCAGACTTGGATAGTTATAAAAATACAAAGAAACCAGACTAGACCAGTTTAGATCGGACCAACATATTACAATTCAAGTAAAAACATCCTACGTTAAAAGCTTACCAGGACACTTATTTTGATACAGAGGGGGTAACTCATAACCCCATAATCTTCACTTTTGAGTTTTGTGGGATTCGATGTGTTGTGAGTTATCTACATGGCTAGAGCCTAGATGGCATAGAATTCCTAAAATTACGTTTGCATCTGCTGAGGCCTGTACTTCCAAAATCTCTCGCCTAGACTCTGGAAGCTGCATGTCATACATCTCCACTGACATTGATAACACCTCAATGCACATATGTGACAATGCAAGGTACTTGACATGTAGAAGGACTCCCACTAGATCCTCCAAATTACTCATCACCTCATAAGAATCGGAATCCCAATCAGATCCGATGAAAGCAATACCCGCATGAGTAACACATGAGATGTTTGTTAGCCGCCACTCGTTTGTCGGACATATTGATATGGACAAAGTCTGTACATATGGTGCAGAGACTTCTAATAGAGGCTGAGCTTCGCCATCTTCACGGTCTATTAGCACAAGCTCACTAACACATGGAGAATCGATCTTCAAATAACTGAGTCCCCAACATTGGCATAGAATCAAGCGATGCATCACAGGACAACCGGATAATATCTTTTCGATGACATGCTCATTTAATTTAGCATCATTAAGGCTTAACACAGTCAAATATTTCCGATCAACAGTTCTTTGAGGAACCAAATCACATCCTCTCAAACTCAAAAATGTAAAGCATGAACTGGAATACATACTCTGAGGGAGCTTATACAAAACTCCTTGTGGATTGAGCGCCAAAGTGACATTTTTGACCTTGTGTTTTACCACATATCCAACCCAACTATCAACATCTAAGGCAAAAGATTCATAGTAATGGAAATCGATGTAGAACCATTTCAGATAATTTTCTCTACGAATACCAAGGGTACGATGAACCCTATTCACAGTCTTGAGTATTTTCTCACGTTCGCAACTTTTCTCCTTAAACTTCAGCTTAGGCAAGTCAGTCCAGAGATGTTGCCATCTCTTGGACAAAATACTAGCCCTTGCAGCTTTCTTAGTACTGAGAAAAGAGAGAATACAAATAAGTAAAGCATCAGGCAATGCGCTCAGCCTATCGATTGACATGTACTTAATCTGTTTGTTCGATGATGGCACTGACATAGACGACATCGTTTCTCTGTCATTCTCCAGTAAAACGCTTGCTTCGTCTTTGCCAAATTCATTTTCGTACACAAACTCTTCTCCTTCTATTACTCCATTCTCCGCCGTGAATTCGTCTCCTTCGCCCAATTCTTTCATTCCTTCTACTACCCCAAATTCTCCTTTTTCTCTGATTTCATCTCCTTCTCCTACGTCCCTTTCTTCTCCTTTACCCAACTCTTCATATTCTCCCATTTCTTCTCCAAATACTCGTGTTCCTTCGTCGCTCATAGCATTAATTAAACAGAATTGCAAAACAGTCAATAATTAAGGATTCAAACCTCATCCAAATGATATCGCAACAGCAGCTGGCGCTACGACAAAATGGAATGGACCATCACCAATTCGCCGCCTCGAGCAGGGAGTTATTCTCCCTCTAGCTATAGAAATTTAATACGGAATAGATATATGAATAAATCTAGGGACTAGGGTGCGTCAAACCCCTCCTTCCCAAAAACGGCAACAACATCTTTAAATGCATGTTCTGGTTGCACATGCTCTTCGTACGGGTGAATGAATCAAATATTTTGAGCTCAATTCCTACATGAAAAATTCCTTTTGTTCAGGTTTTTGGGTATGTTTGGCCAGTTGAAAAGATAATTTTATAAGTTTTTTAGTGATTGTTAGCTTTTACTGACCGAAAAGATCTTAAAAACAAAAGGTAGCAACTGTTTTATAAAAAGTCGATTGTTTGATTTAGCCATGTTTGGTATACAAGCTGTTAATACTAATTAATGCTAGAAGCTACAGACTTATTTGAGATGCTACTCACTGTAGCATCTGAAAAAAGATCTTTTATTTTTATAAAAGCTCTTAAAAATTGGCATGCCAAACATACAACTAGAAACTTTTAAGGACTTTTTAAATAGTACAAAAGCTAGAAAGCAGAGACTTATGCGTGCCAAACATAGCCTTTTTACACATCAGTACATCTCCGTGTCTGTGAGAGTTTTTTTGTCTGTGAATCTCAATCGACAGACAAAAACTGGCTTGTTTTGTCTGTAGAATTTTCCACAGACAAATTAAAACAAGACGGTTTTGTCTGTGATCTGGGATTCACAGACAAAAAAACTCTCACAGACACGAAGGTGTACTGGTGTGTATAAGAACGTGTACACAACCATTTATTTAAATAATACTCCCTTCGTCCCGCTAACAATGGGACAAAAGGGAGTGACACACAAATTAATAAAAAGTGGTTTATGTAGTTGATATTAAATTGATAAAGTAAGAATAAAGTAAGAATGATTTAGAACCACACAAACTTTACCAAATTTGGTATGGGACAATCTTATTGGGACGGACCGATAAGGTAAAATGGGACAATCATAGCGGGACGGAGGTAGTAATAAATTAAAATATTTCAATTATCTAAATTACCCTTATACAACTCAACCATCGGAGACATCTAACGGAGCCTACATCACCGACCATTTTCAAATGGCTTTGCTCTGCCCCAGCGACACCCATTTGCAATAGCACTGTACTGGAACTCGAAGACCCCTTTCCTATCCTCTTTTTCGTAATTTCATATTCATATTCTTCATCTTTGAAATCTTAGTTTCGGTTTCATCCTCCAAATTAGGAATTCCCTCCCTTTTCCTCACTTCATGGCTTCCTTGAGGCACGTAACTCAAGTGCCCTTGGTCAATTTAGTCAAACGGATGCAATAAGTCCTAAACAGACCTCACTGATACGTTATGTTTTAAGGGTATGAATGGAATTATGAAAAGTATTCGTCGATTACGGAAATGGGGGTGCAAAAACATGGCTGCAAATAGAATTTCCCTTGGATAATTGGATACGGAAGACATGTGATATGCTTGAAAAGAAAGAGCCAACTTAAAGAAAAATGAAAACCTAAACGCCTGTTTACTAACAAAGATATTTTCCTGTTTTCTACTTCTGTTTTTCGTTCTCCAATTTTCTGTTTTTATTTTTCACTTTTTCTATCTCCAATTTTCTATTTCTATTTTCTAGTTTTCCATTTTCAAATCTAAAAACATGTTCATCAATTTTTCACACAGTTCTGTGATCATCCAGAAGACTTACACGATTACTTCACATGAGGCCAAGAGACCATTGCGTTAAATGGTGCTTATTAAGACTCGCGTTAATACAGGGCCGAACATATACATGAGGCCAAGAGGCCATTGCCTCAGGCCCACATTATTAGGCAAAAAATTAGGGCCCACAACTATATTAGACTTCAATATATTCTACCATACATATATACATAGTGTATAGATTAAAAAGGACATATTTTCAATTGTTGTGTTTTTAGTTGCCAATCTAGCTTGTACGTAGTGCACCATATTACTATTCTAGAAATTTCATTTATCTTTTTAAATTGTTTCTAATTTTGTTTATTTATTATTCATTTAACGTATAAGTTTTAGTTTAATAATAATTTTTTAGCATTGTATATTGTTTTTGTTTTTTACTCCAGGGGGTCTGGAGGTGTGGAGTAATCAGGACTGAAACTCACTCCATTCAGTTTCAAACCTTTGTGTGCCAAGGGGGTGGCGGTAGGGTAGGGTGGATTGGGGTGGGACCGAGGTAAGGGCATGTGGTAGGGTATGAGGGGTGGGGGTTGGGTGGGTAGGGTAGGGGTAAGGGGTAAGGTACGAGGATGGATGTACTAGAATGGAATGGACATCGAAGCTGGACCGAACCCACTACTAGGTGTAAGTATGCAAATTCATTGTAGCAGCCTGTAGCATTGCGTTTTCCAAATTTGGAAAACTAGTAAAATTCACTTCTCCAAATCATTAAGGAAAAGAGAGACATGTCTCATTTTTTCGTTTTGGAAAACGGTTTGGTAAACACGTTTTTCTGTTTTCCTTTCCCCAGTTTTCCAGCAATTTTCTTTGGTAAACACATTTCCTGTTTTCTGTTTTCTAATTTTCCAATTTTCTGAAAAACTGGAAAATATCTGTGTGAGTAAACAGGCCCTAAATTTTTAGTGATGTATGCCTACTAATACAACTCTCATATGGGGCACATAACACGTGACCGAACTTTACACTAAATTTGTTTTGTAACCAACACTCATGGCCGGCCCACTGCATGTGTAACCAGCCCCCATTCGCATAGGGCCCAAAGTTTCGGAAGGCCCAATTTGTTTAATACTAGTATTATACAGCCCACGGTCCGAAGCCTTGAACTGCTAAGTCTGCGAAGGAAACTGAACGAAGCGCGAACGAAGGGAACCGCAAGACTGAAGCTTAACTGCGAATGGTCGAAGGAAATACAGAACGAATGCTGAATACAGAAGGGAGAAGACGGGAAGAAAGACCCGCTGACGATCGCCGTTAGTCAGCGCCAGGCCTCCAGCCTTCCACCACCGCACTTCCGCACCACGCAGCGACGCCCTGCCTGACCGCCTCCGGCGTCCAGGACCACGACCGCACCAGACCGGCAGTCCACTGTCCACTCTAGGCTGCTACCCGCACTCCTACAGTAACGGGTAAGCAACTAAGCAGATTTTTCTGATTTCTTTGACTTTGATTCGTTGAATTGCAAATTAGTGAAATTAATTAGTTCTTTGTTACCTACTGTTGTGGCCCTTGTTGTGATTTGTTTATCTATTGTAGTAGTTTATTCCTTATTGAGTAATTGAATTGAGAACAAGTGTGTTTAAAAGTTATTCAATTAAGAATTTGAATAATGTGAATTAAATTTTAAGCTAAATTTTTTTAACAGGTGGAGGATTAGGATAGAATTTGAATAATTGATATTTGGTAGTAAATTTTGTTGGAACTTGGGAAAAATGCCCAATTTTTGTTGTTGCACAGGGTCCCTAATTTCTAAAGACTGGCCCTGCCAACACTAATTATAATTGTTATAATTTACTTAGTCGTAAATTATATCAACCTGAATATCTTAGTTTGTAGTAAGTTGATGGTCCAGCATAACCCATCGGGCCATCACTTGTATTGTTCATAAGGAATCATCTTAGAATGTGTGGCATAATAGTTTCATGCACCACAATTTTTCCAATGTCTTTTAACCTAAAATCAAAAGAAGTTACCCTAAATAGGACTAAAAAGAAATAAATAATGTGATTTTCCTAATTAGAAGTACTATGTTTTTTTATAGATGTAAGTATGGTTTTTTAAATAGTTTATGTAATGCTTCACAAAGTTCTTATAAAGCTATAAATATATTATTTATGCAGTTCTTATAATTAAATGTTAATAATACATATTACATAATTAAAGATTGTTTTGTCTTGGTGGCATAGATGAGAACCTAGTAAAATCCCATCTGATAACGCCGAAAATTGGTTGAACAAGAATCTGTTGGAATTGTTGTGGAAATTGTTGAATTTGTTGAATGTGTTTATTTATGAAAAAATATTTAAAAAGTATTTTATTAATGGAATAAAGAAAGATTATATTAGAATAGTTAAATAAATTTTCTTTAAGTAGATAAATTTAATCTTACATATTATGATTATTATACAATTAAGTGAAATCGATACTATTCAAGAAAATAATAGATATGTAAGCCCAAAATGTGGACCAGATTATCCTAGCTCAACTCTGGAATATCCCGTCTTGCTTTGATTTGGTTTTCAGTAAGCTAGCGAAACCCTCAGTAATGGAAGCTACGATGGAGATTCCGAAGGGTGATGTCAAGCCGGTGATTGTTAGGGTTAAGAGAAAGGCAACACAGTCTCGTCTTGATGCTTTCTGTGAGTTCTTGTTAGGGTGAAATGGTTTTTCCCTCTATTTTCATTTATTTGTGATGAAGAAAGCATTTGTTATATAATTGCATTACATCTTTGGTGATTTAAGGGCTTGAAATCAATGAGAGACCATTCAAGCGGCCATTGATTGACTTTGAGAAGCTATCAGTTTCTGATTCTACTTCTTGTAAAGGTGTGTCAATTCTTCCAATTGCGACGTGTATGCGTGTGTATGACTGTATCTGTATAGTTTTGTCTTTGTGAGTTTTGAAACCATGTGTTCCCAATTGTGTAGAGGAATTGAAGACAAAAAAGGTTTTTGTTCAACATGTTGAGACTGTAACTAGCTCAGAAGTCACTGCTGATCTTGTGCTGTCTTTTGTGGTTAGTATTTTATTGTCCATTTTATGATTTAGTTATCTGTTTCCCATTATTTTTCTTTCTTGTGGTTAGTAATTGGTTTTAGTTAACTCTGTTCTCTTCTTCATTTGGTTAAAACATATTGTATCAATCAAGCTATGAGTTATGTGATGATTTTTTATTCTTAGCAGTGCGACTCGGCTAGTTCTTCAATAGTCAAAGAGAAAATTGAGGAAAGAAGACACACATTCAAGTCTGACAATGTAAGTCTACTGAGATATATTCCATTGTGCATATGTGAAAATATTGTTATGGGTTAAATTTAATGGTGTTTGCTTTTTGGTGGCATTTTTCATGCAGCATGTGCAAAGGCAAGGACAACTTCTTACAAAAGCTAAACAAAAACAAGTGGTAAAGCTCAAACACTTTATGAGTTTATAAGCAGCCTGATGATTAATACCTTTGCCCCCCACGTAGTTGCATAAATAAGAGGTTTATAAATTTGCAATTATTGTTGTATCATACTTCCAGGATTTGTCAAAAAATGCTCGTTTTGAGCAAATATGGAAAAGCAGGCGAGGAAAGAAGGATTATATTCACGATGATGCACTCAATGAGGTGTGCCGACTGTATAATGTTGTTCGTGTTGATACACATGAAAATTCCCATAAATTCCCTGAAGGGTATGTTTTGTTTCTTGATGGTCAAAGCTGTTATTTTAGTCTATGCTTTTCATTATACGGAGTATGTTTTTTTTTCAAAGGAGAATTACAACCTAGATTGTGCCTGTTTGCATGTGCACCACGCAGAGATGATGAGTTGGAAGATCATAGAATGATGTCCCAGTATTTGCCGCTTTTAAGAGAATGCATGCCAAGTGCTGCTGAGGAAATTGAGTCTGATATGCATGAGTATATCTCCAAAAGAGGTTTTCCCTATTTTCTTTGTTGGGGTTTTGAGACTTCTTAAGTTACATTCTTGCTTCTTATGGGGTCTTTTAGATGGCAATCTCTATCTTAAGTTCCATACAACAGTAACAATTACATCCAAGCTTTAATCCCAATTGCATCTTTAAAGTTCCATGCATATATGAAAATGACATGAATACTTCAGTAATGTAGGATGCTCAAGAGTCAAGACCCCCCTTGAACAGTTGAACCTAATTACCAAAATAGGACTGGATAACTTAAGGGGTAGACTAATCGGTCCAAGCCAATCCCCCAAAGGACTGCCTCAAGCTATCGTTCCCACAAACCACCACTGGACCAAACAATGTTAAATCAAGTTACCCAAAAGGTTCTTTAGGATATAAGGTTTACCTTATTAGGCTTATACTCTGTATTTATATAGTATATACTAATCAGTAATCCCAATCCCAATATGTAATTGGTGTGGGATGTTTAATATTTTCAGTTAATTTTAGGTAATTGATTGGTGATTGTGAAATGGTTGTTTTTAATGTATAGCGTCTTTTTTTATCAGTGATTTCTATTTTTTTTAAATGTTTATCAATATTCGCTAATTTTTTTTGTCTTTGTGCAGTATCTTCAGATGGGTATGTCTATGATTTCTATGCCATAAAGGATGGTGCTGACACCATGGAAGAAGAAACTACTAACCATTTTCCTTTGTAAGAACTCGCTGCTGTATTCATAACTTAAACCCCTAGTTTCTCATCATACTATATATATATAAAACTGCGCATTTGATTTTACAGGGTTCGAGTTGATGATGAGGATGACTTCTACGACGGTCCAGATGATTCAGAATATGAAACTGACGATTCTAACAGTATCTCTTATCATACCATTTTTTTATTTACAAATTATGTCATTTGAGGCTCTCATATGTGGGGTTAATATCATTACGTATTTGAACATCTCAGATGAAAACAACCCACGAAATGATTACCCTGAAGAAAACTCATCTGGGGAAGAGGATGAAAGTGGAACTCAATCCTCAAATGAAGACCAGTCAGAAGTTGAGGAAGAATCTTCCTCTGATGAAAGTGGATATGATATATCTTCTCATAATGGAGAGGGTTTAGATGGCCGTGACTTGTCAGGTGATGGGGATCTGTTTCTTGAAGATGATGTTTGTAGCGTTGATGATGGTGAGTCCTACGATTACGAAGATCTTGATGAGGAAGAAGATTAGTGGTGATTTCAGAATTAAATGTGTTCTTGTAGGTAGGTATGCATATCTATTTATAGTTTTAAGTGTTAACTATACATTATTGTGTACAATATTGAGTTGTGCTCTGACGTTCCTTTCCATCAATTCATGTATTGGGGTTAATTGATTGTAGAACAGTTGATTCCTACCCTTTTGCCCGATTACTTAGTTCCAAGTCCGATTCCAGAACCACAAGTTCCCATCTAAATCGGGAAGGATGTCCGCCCCAATATAATCATGCGCTTGAGGCCATTTTGTATTTTTGTTTAGAAATGTGCTTTTGATAAATGAGAAATAGAAAATCATGTATGCTTGGTTGTATGGAGTCGGGGTATTCAGTAGTTGTCCAGTTCCTATACCGTGGGATCATCCCACGGTGAGCACCCTGCTCCTGCTCTTGAAACGACGTAGTTTTATTAATTAAAAAAGAGATCCATCTTAATCCCTATAGTTCACGATAGTGCCGGCGGTAGGGTTGGACTCGGGCCGGGTCGGGCCCGGGCCGGGTCGGCGGTTCTATATAGCTGGACTCGGGCCTCGGGTTTGGTTAATTTTTTTTTTTTTTGCTTAGCTACCCGCCTACCCATCCCTGACCCCCCCCCTCACCCCCCACCCCCCAAACCCCTCCTAAACATCAAGCCCAACCCGGTGGAGCCCAAACAAATGAAAAAAACCAAAAAAACAAATATTTGGCCCGAACCGGGCCTTGTTATGGGTGACCTGAGCCCGGACCGGAAACCCACCGGGTCGGGCCTACCCGGACCGGTCACTGACCGGGCCACCGGTTCGGGCCACCCGGCTCGAGTCCAAACCTAGCCGGCGGGAAGATGGAAGACTGATTGGAGAAAAATAGTTCATTCACCCTTAGTTGGGAAAAGAGCGCTCTTGGTCTGTCGTATCTTCGAGGCTGGAGTAAACCTTGCTCCTCATGACCTCATCCTGGAGTAAAGCAACGGCGGTTATTGCTTGGTTGCTGGCCAAGCATGAGGAACTTTGTAGACTTGGAATTGATTAGTCTATATATATATATATAGACTAAAGTTCACCTCCCTCCGGTTTGGAGGAATGCCCTGTCCGGCCACCTCAATTTGAGGTGGTTCTGGGGGGTATTTTTGGCTGAAATTTTTTGTGTATGTTCCTCATCAAGTCTAGTTCATTCATACAAAATTTGAGAAAAAAATTCGATCGGGAAGGTCGTCAAATGATTTTTGCATGAAAACTGCGTTTTATATGTATATTCCGGACCAGTTTTCATGCAAAAATCATTTGATGACCTTCCTGGTTGAATTTTTTGCTCAAATTTGGTATGGATGAACTAGACTTGATGAGGAACATACACAAAAAATTTCAGCCAAAAATGCCCCTCTAAACCACCTCAAATTGAGGTGGCCGGACAGGGCATTCCTCCCTCCAGTTCGGAGGAGAAGACTACTCTCTCTCTATATATATATGATATATATACATACACACACAGATATATATTTGTAAATCACGTGTATTGAAATGTAACTCACATTGTTATAAAATGTAATCTCAGTTAACTACACATGTAACTCGTTGTCTGAAATGTAAATCATATTACACCCTTCAATAGTTCTCTCACCTTTCATACATGAGATGTAAACCGCGTGTTACAAGATGTAACTTTTATCAAATTGATATGTAACTGAAGAGTGTCCAAAATGTAACTTTAAGGAAGTCGAAAATATAAAGCATGTTAATTGAAATGTAACTTGACGTAGATACAAATGTAAATTGCATTAATGGATATGTAACTTATGCCTAATCAAAATGTAAGTTTTCAAAGCATAGAAGATGCAGTGTTTTATTCATCAAGATGAGGGAAAATTTGTACGAAGCAGAAGCAAAGAAGTTAATAAAAACATAGGCTTATACTCTTCTTTGAGGAAAAGATACGAAGGAAAAACAGAGACTCAATAATCTAAATTAATTGAAATTCAAATCGACATCGAAGAATCTAATTCAATTCTTTGATGAAAATCTACGAGGCGAATCTGCAAGGGAGAGAAATCCATTCATGCTTCGGAGCCGAAACAAATCTTGGAGACCAGCAACGAAGATGTGAATTCACTGTGGATGGCCATCTGCGACGAAGAAAAAAACGAAGCACCTGAACGGTCATCTGAGACAAAGACAGGAACGAAGACTTGACGACCATCTACGACGGCAAGCCTGGACGGCCATCTGCGACGGCAAGTTTGGACTGCGAGCTGATGAAGCGTGGTAAAGCAAGGAACAAAGAAGATGCTGAGTAAATAATTTGCAATTTCTAACACAAAACGGTATCGTTTTGGGATGGGTTGCACCTTGAGGATGGTGGGCCGATCCCATGGTATAATTTCACTTGTTTAGATTTTTCGCTCATTTGATATTTAGGGGTGTTCGAAATTGATTTTGCTTCTGCTTCTTTTTTAAAACAGAAGCAGAATCAGAATCAGTTTTCAGAAGTTGGTCTCCCCCAACTTCTAAAACACTGATTTTAAGACTAAATTACAGCACCAGAAGTACTTCTACACTTTCTCTCAAACATTCTAACTTCTGTTTCTACTCTCTGAAGGAGCAGAATCAGTTTTAAGAATCAGATCCAAATACCCCCTTATTCCGTATCTTTTGTTCTTATAGCTCTAATTGTGCATTGGATTCTACAGGGTAACCGACTCTCCAATAATCTAATACTTCATCCGTCTTGAAATGAAAACTTACACACATTTATCTATGATCAGGGGCGGACCCAGGAAAGTCATTTGGGGGGGGCGAAAATATTTGGGGGGGTTCAAAATACTTTTTGGAAGAGCAAAAATTATTTTTCGTATGTATATACATTAAAAAAAATTGTTGGGGGGCGGTAGCCCCCCTGGGTCTCTACTACGGTCCGCCCCTGTCTATGATGGAGTTTTGTTTGGATTTTCCTAGTGTATCCTTACTATGTCAAATAATTACTAAAGGTCAAGTATGCTAGTTTGGTAAAGGTCTCAACTTTTACTTTTTGATTTATAGTATCAAAATCGATTATTAGAAAAAGTATGTTAAAAATTATCATATTATCTTTCAATTAAAAATAAAAAATAGTTATGTTAATATGTGAACGATCGTTTTTTAGTGTACACAATATTAATTCAGATGAAATAATTTAAATATATCAAACTTTAAAAAGGTGCAATGTAAGTACTTCAAACTTTCACATGTAATCTATATGAAATATACCCCATATTTATATAAAAAATTACATCGACACCATGATCATATATTTTATAACAAATCTAATTTTATGGTGTGAAATACATACTTTAAAATACACAAAGCACTTATGAGGATGCAAAGAATTGGCTCTTTTAATTGAAAAATATCGACTGAGAACATATTTATTATTTAGATTATTACTTAAAAAATAAGACATACTAATATGCATTATCAATCAATGTTATAAACGACTAAATAAATGACTTTCCGTTATTTGTTGTTTGTTTGTTTAGAAGTTATAAAAAACTTATATATTTGCCAATGCGTGCAAACTGACATATACTCCGTATATAGTAAAACTAAAACAAAATTATTTTTTCTCACGATAAAAGTTATAATTAGGAGTGGACTCGGGCCGGGCCAACCGGCCCGGAACCGGACCGGCCCGCTACTGTGCGGGCCCGGACCGGCCCGGTTTGTCGGTTAGGTCACGGTTCGGGCCACCCGGCCCGGTCATGTAGCGGTTCGGGCCCGGGCTGATATTTTGGTGAACCGGCCCGGCCGGGCCTCAACGGTCACAAAAAAAAAAAGAAATTAAATTTGAAGGCTCTACTAGCCGTTGGGAGACCTCCCAAACGGCTCTATAGCCGTTGGGAGCATAGGAGGGGGGGTCTGGGGGGTTAGGGGGGGTGGGGGTGGGGTATACAAAAAAAAACTATTTATACTCCTATTTTCTATACATTTTTTACACCTTCTTCTACAACTCTTCCTACTCTCTAAATTCTCTATTCTCTCAATCTCTCATATTCAATCATCTTCATTCTTCATCTTCTCCAAATTCTTTCTACATATATATAATTTATATAATTATTATATCTACTTATATATTATAATATTAATTATCTACTTATAAATATATACTTATACACATTCATATTATAATTCTTTACGCATTATATTATATACTATATATTGTTATACATTATATTATATATTACTTATAATATATTTACACATTATATATTTATATATACTATATATAGTTATACATTATATTATATATTACTTATAATATATTTACAGATTATATATTTATATATACTATATATAGTTATACATTATATTATATATTACTTATAATATATTTACACATTATATATTTATATATACTATATATATATAAATTACTTAATTTATATATACACTTCTCGTTTATCTATTTAATTACTTAATTGTTTCATTTGTCATATTAATATTAGTTAAAGTAGTTAAAGTTAATTGTTTCATTTGTCATATTAATATTAGTTAAACTACTTAATTGTTATATTTCTCATATTAGTTAATTAGTTAATTGCTACATTTTTACATTTCTCATATTAGTTAATTGCTACATATCTCATTAAAGTAAAAAAAACTAGTTAATTTTTACATTTCTCATATTAGTTAATTAGTTAATTGCTACAATTTTACATTTCTCATATTAGTTAATTAGTTAATTGCTACATTTTTACATTTCTCATATTAGTTAATTGCTACATTTTTACATTTCTCATATTAGTTAATTAGTTAATTGCTACATTTTTACATTTCTCATATTAGTTAATTGCTACATTTGTACATTTCTCATATTAGTTAATTAGTTAATTGCTACATTTTTACATTTCTCATATTAGTTAATTAGTTAATTGCTACAATTTTACATTTCTCATATTAGTTAATTGCTACATATCTCATTAAAGTAAAAAAAAAACTAGTTAATTTTTACATTTCTCATATTAGTTAATTAGTTAATTGCTACAATTTTACATTTCTCATATTAGTTAATTAGTTAATTGCTACATTTTTACATTTCTCATATTAGTTAATTGCTACATATCTCATTAAAATAACAAAACTAGTTAATTTTTACATTTCTCATATTAGTTAATTGCTAATATTTGTTCAATTTTAAAGATGGAGCGTGGTAGACATTCTGTAGATGTGGGTAATCTCCAACGCAACCGCAAGAGGGAGATTGCATCGACTCGATCTACTTCACGCAAAGGCAAAGGTAAAGCGCGGGCCGAGTCTTCTTTTCAAAGTCGAGATGATTTTGAAACGGATTACCAACGGCGAGATGGTATGATGATGTCCGACGAGGAACTACAACACCTATTGTCCCAAAATGATCCACGTTTTGCACAAGAACAACAATTCCCGACAACCATCGATGAAGAGGAGCTCGAGGATGACGATGGGGAGGAGGACTCGGGGGGCGACGGGACTCCGGATGATGAGCAAGAGGACGAGGGCCCTTCAACGACTACAACCCAAATTGGTAATAAATCTAAATCTCCTATTATTGAAAACAATTATACAAAAAGGAAAGACAAAAAAACCGAAAAATGGTACGCAAGTTGCAATCATTGCAAGAAAGAGTTTAGCTTGGGAATTTCTGGCGGATACGGGAGTCTCAAAAGACATCTTAAGTCCGCCCACTTTGTGGAGTATGCGAAAATAGACAAAGGAAAGGGGAAGCAAACACAAATATCAAGGTTTGCAAATTCTCAACCCTTTGGTAATTTTTCCTATGATGATAACAAACATTTGACTGGTATGTCTCATTTAATTGTTGAAGAAAATTTACCCTTTATTTTTTCCGAAAGTCTTGCTTTAAGAGATTATGCTCAAGGTACTTTAAATCCTCAATTTAGAAATTATAGTCGCAAAACGATTAAAAAAGAAGTTATAAGGCAATATAACTTGGAAAAAGAAAAATTACAAATATTTTTCGCAAACTTTGATGGACGTGTTAGTATTTGTAGCGATATATGGGAGGATACTTATCATCATTTATATTATTTGGGTCTAACTGCACATTATATTGATGATGATTGGACTATGCATAAATGTGTTCTTGCTTTTCGTGAATTCAATGATCGTCACACTGCTGATAATATTTATATTCTCATTGAACGTATTTTAATTGAGTATAATTTGATTGATAAGGTGTTTGCTGTAGGTTTTGATAATGCTAGTAATAATACTGCTGCTATACCTAGATTACGTGAATTGTGTGGTGCTTCTACATTGATGGGTAGATTTTTTCATCAACGTTGTGCATGTCATATTCTAAATTTGTGTGTACAAGATGACTTAGCGGCATTAGGAAATGCTTTGGAGGTAGTCAAGGGGGGAATTAAATTGATTTGAGCTAACACTCCACTAAAAATGCAATGGCGGCAATATTTGAAGGATAGACGTGTGAATTATTGTGCTTTTCCTAAAGATTTGTCTATTCGTTGGAATAGTACTTATAATTTAATTCAAGTACTTGTTAGATATAAAGATCATTTTCCATCTTTTTTAAGACAAACTTGTAACTATATTATAAACCCGGCTGACATCGACACTTGTGAAAAAATTGTTAATGTTTTGGCATATTTTAATAACGCAACTCTAACTTTTAGTCATGTTTATAAACCTACCGCAAACGAATTTTTTGTTGAAGCTGTTAATCTCGCCGGCGCTTTTTGTGAATTTTCCGACGCCACTTACGTTAGTTATTTTTGTGATTTCATGAAACAAAAGTTTTTAAAATATTATTCACATATTCCGCATATATATGGTATTGCATTTGTTCTTGATCCTCGTTATAAACTTCCTTACTTGGCAAATTGTATAGATTACTATTATGCTTCTTTTTTTTCAACTCAAGAGTTCGATGATAATCCCATCGACCCTAAACAAGAATTCAACGAGGTTAGTAATTTATTTCATCAATTGTATAATGAATTTCATGCACAATATGGTAATGCACCCCCTCCCATGCAACGAACATCTTCTTCATCTAAAGGAAAATCACTTTTAAAATCCGCTTTTGGTTCTCTTTTGAAAAAAAGTAGAGCAACTCCCGCTACTGAACAAAGCTCAGGTAACGAGCTTTCTTTGTATCTAACATTGAATGTTGATTATGAAGTTGGTGATGACTTTGACGTTCTTAAGTGGTGGAAGGAAAATGAAAGAACATTCCCGATTTTATCAAAGATGGCTAAGCAAGTACTAGCAATGCCGATATCAACCGTTGCCGTGGAACAAGAATTCAATGCGGCCGGCAACGTCCTAACCGATTATAGAACGAGGTTGAGCCCGAGCTCTCTTGAGACACTAGTTTGCTTTCACGATTGGTTGAAGGCCCAACAAAGAACTCAAGAAATTACCATCACTCCCTCCCGCCACTTTATGGAGGAAACAACCGAAGGCGGAGAGTCCGATTGATTTTTTATTACAAAATGTATTACATTTTTTAAATTCATCCTAATTCTCAATTGTACTTCTTATTTGAAATAAATATACTTCAATTCGAATATAATATATTGTAATTGTAATAAAAAGTATTCTAATTATATAATATTTTAAAAAAAATTAAATAGGCCCGGCCCGGCCCGTGAACCGGGCGGGTGACCCGAACCGAACCAGACCCGGGGTTTTCCGGGCCGGTTCCGGGCCTGCCATCCTAGAACTGAGGCCCGGCCGGTTCTAGGCCCGAACCGAGTCCACCACTAGTTATAATAATGGCTGTCGCCAACAGCTACTACAACAATAATGAAAATGCCCAAGTGATAAACTAAATTATGTCTTCATGTCGGTTTTAATCCAACAGAAGATCACATAACTATTTTTAGAATGAATAATTATAACTTATTCGCCTTTTTTACACCAAACTCACAAACAAGACAGAAGATCTCAATGATATTGGAATATGTCCAGCTATAAACATGGTTTACACAAGACCATCACTATATATATGTATTGCATGTGACATGAGATACTAAATAACTTTGCATGCAAGAACAAAATCTCATGTCATCCTGTCGCATTTATCAATCCAGAAGCAGGGATTCCGTGGGTTTGAAACCATTCAGGCATATGAAACCTTTCATGAAGCACTGGCCTAACATCCGTCTGTAGAGAGAGGTGCTTGAGAAGGGGAAGTATAACTTGTAAAAGCTGAAAATGAAAAGAATAACAACAAATTAAAGCTGACGATCAATCAATGCGAATAAATAAGACTTTTAAAAACAGAGGGCTGTTTCTCATTTGTGTTACCTGCTCGTCATGGGGTTGTCCAGGAGAAAATGGAATGCATGGAATCCCATTTAGAGGTTGTAGTAAAAAACTGAAAGGGTTATTGTCAACGATAACAATTCGGCATAAATCTTTTGATATGCCAAATAGATCCTTCACATGCTCTCTATATTCCCTGTCAGAAATGATCAACCGACTATTAAAATTTAACAGCATAACACCACTTAAACGAGGATTTAGAACAAATATTACGGCCAAATTGCACCAATCATTGAGTTTACATGCATCCTACATGGATAGAGAACAAATTGCAGTTCTAGTTCCTCAATTTTTTGTCATTATGTAATATATAAGAGGCTTCTCTTTTTAATTGTTTTAATTGAGATATACAACTAGTTTTATGTTCAAACTTCAAATAAATGTTCCGTATTAGGATTTGTGAGGACAATATCGGTATTATATAAAGAAATTGCCTCATACAGTCATACATAAATAAAACAAAAGGAAAATGCATAAATGGGAGTGTGTGTTTTGCTCTTAATATGATTAACTTCCTAAGAAATTACTCCTACTTAGGAGCATGTATGCATGTTTCTCCTTATAGGAGCAAGTTACTCACTTACTCCTATTAAACATTAATTCCGGAAGGACTTCAATATGTGCACTTTGAATGACTTTTACTGTAATTATCTCTACTATATAATGTCGAGAATAGCCTCATGGGCGTTCAAATTCTCTATGCTGTAAATGGTGATCTTACCAAGACAGGCTAATTGTACCTAAACTCTAACAATCGAGGGGCTATCTTTAGAAAATTGGAAGTTAAGTCACAAGTTACTTAATGTTGAATGATAGAGGAGCAAAGCCACACTGTTTTAAAATGCTCAAAAAACAAGAATATAGAAAAGAGAATGACAAGGCACAATGGTTAAGCACGAGTGATTACTATGATGTACTGAAGCCTTAACACTAAAAGCCATTCAGATCAAGGGACCAAAACGGTTTGCCCACTGTTGCAATCTTAGAGAGCTTCAGGAATGCAAAATAGGTTATTACCAAGCACAAAACTCCTAACATAATTGGCAATTGAGAAGACGTTTTGAAAAAGGATGTATTCGATATCACTGGGTGTTCTGTTGAACAAGAAATTTCTAGTTAGAAGGCAGCCTGCAATAAAAGGCAACTTCCCTCATCAGGTTTGCTTCATTTCATTGGAGACTTAGATGATAAAGTATGGAGTAATAAAGCAAGGATATTGGACCATGAAAAATCTAGTGTGCTGTCAATTTTCTATAAAGAATATAAAAGGGAAGCTTAGGAGAACATATTGGATATATATTCCAGCACATGAATAGATAGGGTGAATGGGGTTCCATGGCAAGACTATATTTATACATATAACCAGTCGTTCATTTATCATATTTTACTCTGTCAAATAACTTTGGAATGGGAAAAAAGAATAAATATATAAAATGTCAATGGAGAAAATATGAGCATCTAAACCTCTGGAATGACAGCACAACACATCAATAACCATCAAGCATTTGTCAAGCATTCAAGTCAAATGATAATAAGTAAGAGATTCTGTAGTCCAGATCTCTCAAAATACATATGCAACATCAATTGCAAGTTGGTCTATGAAACAGTACAAGTAGTATTATTACTATCATGAGATATAAAGTTGAGGAGATGCAGTGTACAAGTGGATACCAAAGTTTAAATTCATTTACTTCTACTAGTGCATTAGTGTTCTCGTTTCCAGTTCGGCTTAATTAATGCAAACCAGTATTTGAATCTCAAAGTGGTGAAAGAATATTTATATTTAACTGATTTCTTCTAATGTTAAATTTTTCTCATTTCCATTAGGGCTGATATATGTTTGTGCAATGTTTAATTAATCCAAACCAGTATTTGAATCTCAAAGTGGTGAAAGAATATTTATATTCAACTGATTTCTTCTAATGTTATATTTTTCTCATTTCCATTAGGGCTGATACAGATTTGTGCATTGTTTAGTGAACACAACAGAGACAAATCTCAAAGACAATATAAAAGAGGGATTTCTTAAGTGCAGGCACAGACAGAACAAAACAGGAAAGATATTGAGTAAAAACAAGAAGACGATGTGGGTGAAAGAATGTCTGGCTTCACTTACGTCCTAGTCGTAGAAGGCCTGTAAAGTCTATGGATAAATCGATTTTCAGTATCTATTTTATCAACTAGGGGCCTTGCATAGCCTGCAGGAGGATAATAACCACAGTCAAAACCGGATATATACTTCAATAACAAACTTTAAGTTCATAGAAAGAGGGAGAGAAATCAAAAGAAGAGCAAATTAATGGCCACAGTCACACACACCTTCAAGCCCTGCAGTGAACAACACAAGGTCAGCAAACTCGCTAAGTTGTTTTAGGAATTGATGTAATCCAGGTCGTTCAAACACTGTGACATAGTTGATTTTTGATTTTCCATCACATCCCTTAAATTCAAGAAAAACACATTAAAACACAGAAATGTGCAGACACTGTTGTTACATATGTAATAAAGTAGAAACCTGGGGATTTAACCTTCTCTGAAGATATGCACTCCAGTTCAAACCACTGCAACCCAGCCTCTGTTGCCAAAGAGCGTATTACAGGAGGCAAGCTTGACGTCTCATAAGCACAAACCAACGTTTCATCCAGGTCAAGAACGACCTGCACCAAGCCCCCAACAAATTCAGATAAGAATCACTTCTTCTCTTAATTCTGTCTAGTGATATTGCAGTTATATAATCTGCAAATTTGCATAAAGATGGGAGGAAGACAAAGCTTACCTTTTAAAGACGCAACTCTACAATTTATCTCTTTCAAAATAAATGTGAGGCAATTAATTGCGTTTGAATCACAGGCGCGAATAAATTTGATAGTAAAAACAAAAATTTAAACTTCATCGCCGAAATCAATTTCTGAGATGAATAAATATCAAGTAAAACCCAAAGCTACAAACTTACTCCTTATAGTAAGGCGATAGATTACAATACCGTGAGTCTAGGAAGACGAAGCTCTTCGTGGCCATTGAAAACAACTCCGGAATCGACTTGTGAAGCAGAAACTGAGGCAGAGGGGGGTGGCGGCGCCTCTTCCACGTGCTCCTGAGATTCGGGAAGCTCAACAACCGGGAGAGGCTTGAACTGCGGAGGAGAAGAGAAGATGGAGGAGAAGAACAACCGAGTCAACGACGGCGTGCCTCTGATGATCTGAAGGGAGATCTGGAAGAAGAACGTCAACCAGTTGAGGAGCGACCGCCAGACTTGAAGCGTTTGGGGGGCGTAAACATCGGAGGCCTTAGCAAGCTCCGCCATGAACCGCCGGAACCCTCGAAACTGCGGTTGCAGTGCGACGCTATAGACCGGCGAGTGACACAAATATGGGAGGATTGTAATCGAAACTTGAAATAAATGTAATCTATTCTATCTTTCCGTAATTTCTTCGACGATTTTCCAATTTTCGATTGACTGTGTTCAGTACAAATGATCGTACTCCTGGATTCCTATGATGATGACGAACTTAAACATGGAAAAACATACTCCGTTGTATAAATATAAATAATACAGGTAAATATTTAATACTCCAAAAAAATACGGAGTAATAACAAATGATAAAGAGAAATGGGGAGGAAAAAAAGTTTGATTCCTCGACTCCCGTAGGGGAATCGGAGTGGTGGTAAAAGACGAAGTCCATCCCACGCTCTACGGGAGGAGTGGTCTTCACGCGTGCCCTTCCCTCAGTGATTGAGGTGAATTATTTCAACTGAAAGTTGGTAGTTGCAACTTGCAACTTGCAAGACATTATCCTCGTAAAAAACACATCTATAGCATATACACGCAACGGCACAAGTAGGTATAGTTTTTTTGACTAAGTTTTCCCTTGGCTTGCACAATAACGTGAAAATCATGAGAAAATGAAAAAACAGAAAACGTCAACTTTTGTTTGAAAATGGCTAATTTGGAGAGTTTTTAAAAAGTTTCCGCAGAATTTCCGAAACAGAAATGCAATCCTTCTTGGAGTTTCCGCGTTACATAATATTTAATCTATTATTCCTTCATCCCACAAGACTTTGTCAATCACACCATTTTTATTATTTTATTTGGTACTCGACATCAACTTGACACAATTGAGTGAGACGAAGTTAATATTCTACGGAGTGATATTTTTTTGAGATAAATATTAATATAATTGATCGAGAAGAGACTCGAACATATGACTTCTTTTTTAGAAGTGTCCAATCAAATTTTCAAATTACTATGGAATTTATCTATTACTCCATTCGTCATATTTTACCTTTCTTATTTTTTCTTTTGGGTTATCCAAAAATAGATGTCACATTTCTTTATTTTGGAAAACAATATGTATTCTACAATATTTTACTTTATTATAATCAAATCTCAATCATAACTCTTACTTCTTTAACCATTTTGTTAATAATTGTGTCGAGTCAAATAGAACACAAATAAAGAAAGGAGAGTAGTACATTTTAAGAAATAATCAAATAAATACAATTTGATAGCATATGAAGTTTAATACATTTTTTCAACATTCCTATTGACTTTCAGTTTTATATAGGCAGTATTGAAAACTAAGAAAAAAAATGTCATCACTTTAAAGCCATGGCATATTGGCATAGGTAGCTAGCATAGCAGGTTGCAGTGGGTTAGAGTGGGTCAACATGAAGCACTTTCACATGCAAAGAGTATAAGGTATTTACCGATTAATGGTTTTACTTGAAGATACTCCCTCCCTATCTATTTAATTATTGTAGATTATACGAAAAATAAGAGGTTTTGGTACCGTAATGGTACTGTAGCTACATTTTGAGTGAGTTTCTTTCTAAAAAAAAGAAATGAGACAATTAATTTGATACGTCCAAAAAGAAAAATGGGACAATTAAATAGATACGGAGGGAGTAATTGTTAGCAACTGCCCGAACTTTAATTGTTCACACATAGAGATAAATATTTGTGTAAAAAAATATCAATATCACTCACATAAACTCAGATATGCATCTACACAAAGTAAATATATGTGCACGCAAATCAATATTTGTTTTTAAAAAATTGTGTGAGCAATTTGCATACTTTTAAATTCATATAGCTTTTGTTGTTATATATATGATTTGTCTCTAATCTAATTTGATAACTTTTATTGAATGTATATTATTTGTGAATCTATGTCTACTATTGGTTAGTGTTTGACTGTTTGTGGTGGAGTTAATAAGGGAATAGGGTTGGAACTTGGAAAAATCAACCCTCAAGTCCAAGGGTCAATTACCCATGTTCAAACCCTTCGTATACATGGAATAACCGAGGAAATGGGTCGAAAAATAGATGATTTCACTTATTCATACCTAATGTTGTGGATAGTCTAACTAACATTTATTTGTAGGACTGTAGCTCTATAAAAATGTTGCTTAATACAAGGTTATTCAGAAAAGGTAGAATTAAATTAGAAACATATAGTGTAACTTGAGCAACCACATTAACGAGACATATTAGAGGAATTTGGATCCTCTCCATTACCGAGAGAGTTCCATTATGAGAGAGATAGAGAGGTGAAAATTAAGAGTGAGGTATCTTGATGAATAGGATAAAGAAAAAAGGTAGATATAAATAGGAAGTAAATATGAAATGGAGAGAAAATAGAGAAAAAGAAATGAAGAGGAGCTCAGCCATATTAGAGATACCTTAAGAGAATCACAGGTTATTATGGTATTTGAACTGTAGTTATTAGAGAATAATATGCAATAAGAGACTGAAATTAATTATAAATTTACTAGACCATACTATATTTCATGCCACGTTACGTTGGCATAAGATGACATATAGATACTAACTGTGTGGCACAACCTTCACCGCATTTGTTATTATAAGAGCTCGTTTGGTAGCACGAAAATCGGCTGATTTGACTAATTCTGCTGAAATTTATGAAGATCTGACTGAAGTGGCTATATTGACTGATTCTGTTGATTTAAGAAAAAATTATTTTTAAAATATATTTTATTAATAAAATAAAGAAAAATTTATATGTAAAAATAGGTAAAATGATCATCTGCAGTAACTTCAGCCAATACATCCAGAAAAGTAACTCCAACCTTACTTTTCTGCTTATTACACAATTCAGCTCGCGAGAGCAAAAGTTACATGTTTGATGAAAAAGTTGGTTAATAAGCCTGATAAGTCGAAGTTGCCGAATGGCTTCTAAGCCTAAAGGTGTTTTTTGAAAATTTGCTAAAGCGAGACATAATAAAATTCTTAAATTGGAGCAAATGAAATAACTTTGAATACGGAGTATATAGGAAGGTATAGTAATTTATTATTTTTTGTATTTATTATCCTATTAAATTGTGGTAAGGATAAAATAGAAAGATAAAATATACTTTAATTCTATTTGGGGAAGATAAATAACATACTCCTATTTGTACATTTAGGGATTAATTTAGTTGCTATTATCTCTAACCATTATTATTGATTTGGACATTATGACAATGAAAAATGCGTGGTGTACACCTTTTGTGTACACACGTCTGTCCCCAGCAAACGAGTTGTGTGTCCACACACAACTCTGTAGAGTTGTCTGAAAAGTTGTTTGTGGGCAGACAACTCGTCTGCTGGGGACAGACGTGTGTACACAAAAGGTGTACACCAAGCAAAGTTGTATGACAATAGCAGAGGAATACGTGGAGCTAGGGATGGATTAAACCGGGCAGGCCCGACCCGGAACCGGCCTGGCCCGTTACTGTTTGGGCCCGGACCGGACCGGGATCGTTTGGCCGGTTCCGGGCTTTTAGTCCGTTTGGGCGGGGCAGGCGGGCCGGGCTCGGGCCCAACTTTTGGTGAACCGGCCCGGACGGTTCGGGCCAGGCCCGATTCAATTTTTTTCTTTCAAATTTTTTGCTTTTCTAGGTTAGGGTTGGGTGTTTTGGGGGGGTGAAGGGGGTGGGGTGAAGGGGGGGTCGGGTGTAAATGAGAAACCAAAAAAAAATTGAACTTGACCCGGGCCCGACCTGGCCCAACCCGGTTAGGCCCGGACCCGGTATCAACCCGGGCAGGTTCCGGGCCTAACATTTTGCAAAAAAAGCCTGCCCGGGCCCGGCCCAGAACTGGAACCGGACCGGCCCGGGTCCATCCCTACGTGGAGCTCAATTCGTTCCCACTTACTAGGAGGAATTGAATGTTACGTACAACGATACAATGGTGAAATGAATAGTGTATCTATAAAATATTGCAATTTTGCTATAGGTACCTCAATTATACCCCAAATTGTACCACATATAAATACCTTTCATTTCTCCCTCTTTTCTAGCCTTCCCCTTCCCATGAAGTTTCAAAAAATCGAACCTCTCACCTACCTCACCCCCTCGCGTCGCAGACCTCCCATATTAACCCTGTCATATCCGGCCACCCGCCTCACTCCTCGCGTCGCAGACCAGCCCATAATCAAAACCGGCACCGAGCTCACTTTGTTCTCATTTCAACCGGACCCCAAACCACTCCTTTCTCACTTTCTCACTTCTCAGTCTTTTTTTTTTGTCTACCGCCGTTCTCTTACGCCTCTTCTCCAGACAACTCACTTCTTCATCTCTTCTCTCTAGTTTATGCACAATATCCCCTTCTCTCTTTTAATTTAGCTATCATGAACAATAAAAAGATGAATTATTCTCTCTTCGATGGGTCCGGGAAAAGCATCAGAGGGAGACGTGGAGGGGGTGTAATTCATGTACAAGTGAAGCAAATTAGGGTAGTCTTTGCAAGCAGAAGCTATTAGAGACATATGGGCGTAATTGCGGTGATCTATTCCTATTTTTTCTTATGCATTTTAGGGGCTTTTAATTTACCTTTTCGTGAATTTATGTATTTTTTGTATGCTATAACATTGAATAATTGCATTTTTTGAAGATTGTAAGAGATTGTGATGCTAGTTATTAGTTTTTTATTCCCACTACTCTATTTTATTTGATGTCCATAACATGTTTGTTGAAATGTTTCAATGAAATTTTTGTTCATATTCAAGACTTTTTTTGTCCTTTTTTGTTAATGGGTTTTAGATCCTATTTTTCTATTTTCCCAATTCAAATTATGATATAGTTATTTTTATTGACTATATGACTTGAGTATTATGCATTTGGTAGTTTATAATAAAAATGTTAGTCTCTAAATTTTATTATAATGGGATGGATAAATGTATATGCTAAATGAAGAATTTAAATTAATCAATGTTTTTGAATCAAAAACATTAACTGTTAAAGGAAATGTTGTGTTTGGATGGGTGTTGGGAGGGTTAGGGAAGTAAGTGTTAAGGGACTTCGGGAGTTTTGAGATTTTTTTAGATTGAGAATGTGTGTACCGTGTACTACCTTTAAACTTAATTGAGATAATCTTTTAGGAATGAAAACAGAGATGTGTATTAATTTTATAAACCGAATGTGTGTAGGTTGTTTTATTGTGAGTTTTTCATTTTATTTGGTCTTTCTAAATTGTACATACATTTCTTTTGTGTTTGAATTGAGTTTAGGTAACTGATGTATCTAATTTGCATATATGTGATTTGAAGCAACCAGAAATTCAATTG